TTTTAAACTGGTTCAATTCCCTTTATTATGTTTGCACCTGTAGTTTGTACCCATTCCTAACAAAGTACCTGTTTGAGTATCTATCCAACGCTTTGAAATAAAATCTTGCTTTTACAACCTGTGGATTTATTACAATGCTTGGGGATCCAACAACACCCAGCTCCATGGCCTCACTGGGATCTGCTGATAGAATGAGATAGAGCTGAGTGTCATCTGCATATTGGTGGCAGCTCAGCCCAAATGTCCAGATGGCTTCTCCCAGCACCTTTATATAGATATTGAAAAGCAAAGGTGCATCTAACCAAACTATAAGCACCAGTCTTCCCTAAGGCCAGAAGAGAGCATGCGAACCCATCCAGGTTTTTTTAAAAATAATACTGACAATAAAACTAGTGATTCCTTACTCTCTATATTAATTGCAAACCAATATTTAATAACGATTAGCAAGGCTATAAGAGAAATTGACTTCTGCCCAGTTTCCATTAACAAGGAGGATGAGGCGATTCATCAAGGACATGCTAAAATCGATCTAAAGATATTTGTCTGGATTATATCTGGGCATGTACTCAGGCTACCAATCCACACCGGAATAGTGTACACAAACATTGAGGTTATCTTTGCTTTAAAGTATATTTACTTTAATATCTAGCTGCCAAAGAACAGGAAAATGGTCACTAACAATAGGTTCATATACTTTAAAATGGGTTATCTTAACAAATAAATCCAAGGAAGCCAACAGTAAATCTATCACACTAGAACCATTTTTAGAAACAAATGTCAAATCCGCAGGGCTATCCACTGTATCATTACCATTGACTAAAAACAACCCATGAGTATCTGAATATTTTCTGAGTGCAATGCCAGCAATCGTGTCGTCTTCTGAGATACATATACCAGAAAACCACTGACCTTGATTTAACTATCTAAAAGTATTATTCGTTTTAAACAATTGCTTCTCACTAGCTGCTGATCGGGCATTAATATCCCCAGCCAATTATACGGGGGTCACAGGACAATTGTTCCTCCCATACTCCGGATATATATCAATTTAAAAATAAATAAATTAAACTTTATTGAGAATATAGTCCACTTTACATCGTAGTATAAATCATAACATTATACAGCAAGAGTTGAATGTTTAGTAAAACAGAGTAGTTTAAAACACAAAGAGCATATTATGTGATAATATCTGAGAGCATACTGTACTGTACTTAATATGTCTATGTATTGTTTGCTAAGTCTAGTGAATGACAGATTTAATTAACTAGTGTTGTGGTTGATTTAACCTAACTTATGTCTGTTGTGGGTCAGAGGTATAGCCATTTATGGTATATCTGTTTAGAAGGAAGTTTGTCTTGTGTTACCATATATTCCAATACTGGGGCCCAGATGCGTGCAAATTTAGTGTTTATTGGTGTGGCGGAGTTGTGTATTCTGTGTATGGAGTCCGTTAACTTGGCCATAACAAATTGTTCCCAAATTTTGTCTTGCCAGGCTAAGATAGTTGGCGGTAAGGAGGATTTCCAGGCTGCCGCAATTGTCAATCTGGCCGTAGCTAAAAGTATTGCTATAAGTTCTTTAGCGTCTCCTCTTATTGAATTGTCCCATAAATTTAATAAAACAACTTCTGGTGTGCAGGAAATTGTTTTATGAGTGATTAAATTGATTTGTGTTACCACTTTTTCCCAGAATTGGAGGATTAGAAGACAGGACCACCAGCAGTGTAAATAGGTACCAGTTAGCCCACACTTTTCCCAACAGAGTGGTTGGATGGAGGTTTTCATTTTATGTAGTTGGTATGGAGTGAAGTACCATCTCGAAATCAACTTAAAGAATTGAATATTGTAAATTGAGAGGAAAATTAGCATTTGTGATCATCATATTAAAGGGAAAAGCTTTCAAATATAGAACCATAGCATTAGTTCCATGGGTTTCATCTGAATTATTTTTGTCAGGGGATTTAGTGATCAGGCAGGCAAAGCTAGCCCTAGAATTAGCTTCTACCATAGAGATTTGCCCCAAAACAAGAGTGTCACCCCCTGACATCCCTGCCTAAGCCTTCCGGGTCACATAGGCACATCGCGTTAATTTCTGGTGTTCTTCCTTGTTTTTTTGGGGGGGGGAGGGGGATAATTTCCCCACCAGCCAGCTGGCCAGCAGAGGAGAAATGGGGCCTATAAGCGGGAGACCGCTGCCCCCACCGGGGGAGGGTCTGGCATCCCCATTTGATCTGATGCCTCCCATAAGTGCCATTGGAAGACAGCACTGTCTGCTTTTACCCCCTCCCTCCCATTGCCCAGAAAATTGAGCGGGGTGGTGGTGGTTGGAGATAAGGCACTAAAAGTGGTCCACAAACAACAACAAAAAAACCCCAAATTCCCCTTAAAAGTTTTTCCAGTTGAATTTCTCTTGATTCCCAAAACATTCAGAGGCCTGTAGCCAGAAAATTTTTGTTTGGGGGCACCGGGGGGGGGGGGCTGATGTCACTTACAGTGTCACAAAAATAATTGAATAAAAATAAACCTGCAGTCTCCTCTGTGTGGGCCAGGCAGCCTGTGCCACTTCCCAGGGTCTGGGGAAGGTAAAGAGGAGGAAGAGGTGCCACCTAGCCCTGCCTTCCCTGCTTCTCCATGCCCCAGCAGATGGTGGGCTGGAAAGGGGCTTCCTGAAAGGTGCAAGGGAGGAGGAAATGAGAGGCTCTGTAGGTGCCCAGAGCAGGCATCAAGAGCAGCAGCCACTGAGCTCAGCTGATCAGGGAAAGGAAGCTGTGGCAAAGTGGTCACAATGGCATCTGGCCTTCCGCCCCCTCCCTGCACACTTATGAGAGCCGGATGCCACTTAGGAGAGCCAGGCTGGGAAAAAGAGACACAGCAGCTCATGTGGGCTCAGGAGGGGGGAGGGGGTATGGCACATTTGAAAGGGGATGTTGCCATCAAATGCATCCCTGTGGCTACGGACCTGATTCAGGATTACATTATTAATTCTGTAAATACATAGAACAACCTCAAAAGGGGTAGTGGTATGGTCCAGCTCAGGAATTTCACACCTCTACTGTTGAGTCTGGATTAAGTTGGCCCTCCTGCTCATATCCCATATCTCCACCCATTTGTGAACAGGTTTGTCCCTGTGTTCAGCTGTGCAACTTGAAGGGTGTGGAGTTATCTAGTAAGGCCAAGAGACCAGCTTTTGTAACAAGATAAACTTCCAGTGCCCAGAATCTATCTAGAGAATGTGGTGGACCCTGCAAAAGTAGAGCTCACTGTCTCTGAAGTTAGATAGGCCTGCCTGCCCCAAGTCCTATGCAGTGCCTCACTCAGTATCCTGTTTCCACAGCTCGATCTGGGGCTGTTGAAGGGGAGGGGGACTGAGGGAAATAAGAGCCAACTGCCTTCAGCTACCCCGGGGGCTGACTGACCAGGGCAAGTCACGTGTCCTATGTTGTCTGGGTTGGGTCTAAGAGAGAAGCAGGGACACTACGAGGGGCACTGTCTTCACCTGAGAGACCCATGATGGCCCCTGGGAGGACTGGCAGGTTAAGAAGGTACTTCTGTTTGCTGTCAAATTGCTGCCTGATGATGCTGTGCTATGGTTTGACCATTTTTCCTTGTGAAAAAAGAAGATGCCCTGCAGGCCTCACTGATCAGGGTTATTTTGAAGGAAACTTTCAAAGTGGGATGCAGTTCTGAGGGGGGCTCTGGCCAGCCCAAAGGTGTTCAAAGCATTATGTACACCAATCCTGTCTAAGCAAATATTCATATATTCTGGTAACTGAAATGTAGAAATGAAGTCAACATGATGTTTTTTTGTTTTTGTTTTTTAAACGTTTACATGAAGTACCATGTTCTGGTACTTTCTTGGAACATGGCAGCAGTCCAACTGGCTCACAAAGCACTTCTTCTCAGAAGCCAACACACTCTGATAAAACCGGTCTGCAGACATTTGCACAATTTTTTTTCTATTTTGTTTTGTATATATATCATTGTCACTACTGTCCTCTGATTTCTGTAAATTTATGACAAAACTTAAAAACATAACAATTAAAAAAGCATTTGTGCAACTGGGTATATTGCACCACAAAATGGGATTAACACAACTTCATCCTTCTCCCCATTGGCTACTCCTCGGATCCCAGAGAGAATAAATAACAAGTGTACACCTGCCTAGATGTACCTGACGACTCTCAGAGTGGTGTGGATTCAGGCAGCCTCGTTCAGTCTTATTCGACTCAGCAACATCAAAAATTGAAACAGAATGAAAATTATTCTTCTCCTTGGAGTCTCCAGTCTGTTCCTCTTCACCGTTGGTGAGTTGAAAATCAGCTTCTGTTCTTGCTGACTCCCTGCAGGGCTGGGAGGCAGAAAGAAATCCCCTCTTCATGCTAAAGAAGCATGAACAGCCCATCAAATAAGTTTGCAGAATCAGCATGACTATCAGATGGCCATCTAGCCTCTGTTTAAAAACCTACAAGGAAGGAGAGCCCACCACCTCCTGAGGAATTCTTTTGATTTAATTTCAACCTGTTAGTTCTGGTCTGACCTTCTGAGGCAACAGAAAACAACTCGCACCATCCTCTATATGACAGCCCTTCAAATACTTGAAGATGGTTATCATATCACCTCTCAGTGGTCTCCTCTCCAGGCTAAACATACCCAGTTCCTTCAACCTTTCCTCATAGGACTTGGTCTCCAGACCCCTCACCATATTCATTGCCCTCCTCTGGATATGTTCCAGCTTGTCAATCCTTCTTAAATTGTGGTGCCTAAAACTGAACACAATATTCTAGGTGAGGTCTATTTAACCAGAGCATCGTAAAGTGATACCATCACTTGAAAATGCTTTCCAGAAGCACCTTGTTCTCCAAGCACTGAATAAAACTGAGTATAGAAAGTTTTTGCCATTATATTAAATGACCTTTGAATTGTGCTTCAGGTTCCAGAGACAGATATGGTCAATTTTCCATAGGGGATGAATATATTGGCATGCTTTCCAGGGTGGGTGTAACTGACATGAGCTCACTATTTGATGGTACCTTGTTCCTTCCCCCATCTGACTGTTCTTTTGAGATCAAATGGGTGGCTTTGTAGTTTGGGGGTCTTTCCCCCCTTGGTTTCTGTGAAGCTGACAAATATTGGGAGATGAGAGGGGCTTTGAAAGTCCAATAGATGTATACCACTGTAGTGTGAGATTCAGGAAAAGTGCACCATTGCAAAACAGAAACAACCATTTAAAGGTGATAGAAAGAACTCCTTCAAACCTACGTATTATTTTGAAAAAATGCATATTTAAAAGATTTAAAGATTGTTGTATATCTTGAAACTAATTTTAATTGGGGGGGGGTTTACAGCTGCAGCACATATACAGACACTGTGGGTGGAGGAACTGCAATATTCAGTATGATTATATGTTCTCTCATTCCCTTTGGTGTGGCTAACAATCAGGAGCCAGATGTAATACCCCCACAGAGTATTTCTGTGGCAGAGTATATATTTTGAAATGCCCCCACAATACCTTACATGGCTAGCTACAATACAGATTCCTTCATATAGTGTATATGTGGTATTAAATTGGGACCACTGAAGAAGACCTTTGTGGCAGAAACATCTCTCATCCGGTTTTATTGGTTTATTAGTTCCAATCAGTGCCACTAAGAGTTTACTGCATTGTAGGTAATGTGTACTGCACAGTGTGTGACTTGTATGGCCTAAAGGATTATTTTGTTTTTAATGAACTACAAGTGGAGACCCGCAAGAAACTTGCTAGATGATTATCCCATTCCTCACACCTTTGCTTCCTCCCCTCTCCCCCTACCTCACTCACACTATTTCTCCCCTCTGCCCCCCTTTTCTTACTTTCTATTTCTCCTCCATGCATGTGACTTCCTCTCTCTTTCTGACCTGTCACCATTCTCTTTGTTTTTTCTGCCTCCTCACCCCATCACTCTCTCTTTCTGCCCCCATCACTCTTCCAACCTCCTGCCTGATTCCTTCCCCACCCTGCATAGCAGCAACAGCAGCAGTGGTGGCGGTACTCCCAGCCACCCACCTGCTTCCTCTTCCCTCACAGCAGCAGTGGCAGCACTCTGGGAATCACAGTGGATCTCCCAGCTACAGAGATCAATTCACCTTATGGCTGCCAGCTCCAGGTTGGGAAATTCCTGGAGATTTGGGGGTGGAACCATGGGACAGTGAGGCTTGGGGAGGCAAGCAGCCTCAGCAGGGTATAATGTCATATACTCAACCCTCCAAAGCAGCCATTTTATCCAGGGTAATTTATCTCTTTCACCTGGACAACTATCTCTTTCACCTGGACAACAGTTGTAATTCTGGGTGACCTCCAGCCCTCGCCTGGAGACTGGCAATGGTAGTTCTCATGGAGGAAATGGCTGGTTTGAAGGGTGGACTCTATGGCATCACACCAGTCTGAAGTTCCTCCCCTTCTCAAATCCCACCCTCTCCAGGCTCCACCCCTCAAATGCCCAAGAATTTCCCAACCCGGAGTTCGCAACCCTATTTCCTTCCCACCCAAGAGCCAACCTACCTTGATCTGCCTCTCTGTCTTCAGCTTTCCCTCTCCACTCCCCAGTCCCACAGCCTCTACCTAGGAAAATTACAGTCTTTCTCCACAGTGGGGACCAAAGCAGCTTACATTATTCTCTCCTCCTTTTTATCTGCACAACAACCCTGTGAGGTTGGTTAGGCTGAAAGTATGTGACTGGTCCAAAATCACCCAGTCAGCTTCCACCACAAGATGGGGATCTGAACCTGGGTCTTGCAGACCCTACTTTGAAGCACTAACTGCTGCACCTCACTGGCTTTCATAGGGTGGCTGCTGATGAACAGTAGCAAGCAGCCGGGCCTAGCTGAGTCATGCAAATCAAGGGGACTGACAACCCTAGACTGCTGCCAGGCCTAAAGTTGCCAACTTCCATGTGGGACCTGGAAACCCCCCAGAATTACAACTGGACTCTAGACAGCAGAGTTCTGTCTCCCTGGAGAAAATGGCTGCTTTGGAGGGTGGACTCTGTGGCATTATACCCAGCTGAGGCCTCTCCCTTCCCCAAACACATCCCTCCTTAGAGTCCACAAAAAAATCTAGGAATTCCCCAGCCTGGCATTGGCAACCCTTGTCAGGCCTGGCCAAAGGCTCCCTCCCTCAAAGGCCAAATAGGCCTGGAAAGGGCCCTTTCCCCTCCCTTTTACTGACAGAGTCAGTTAGAAGTCTCCCCCCATCGAACATTCTAATCTCTTACCGTTGATGTCTGAAGTATTGGGGTGAATTCAAAATACAAAATACAAAAAGACCCCTCTAACCTGCACTCTTCTACCTTGATCTGCCTCTCTGTCTTCAGCTTTCCCTCTCCACTCCCCAGTCCCACAGCCTCTACCTAGGAAAATTACAGTCTTTCTCCACAGTGGGGACCAAAGCAGCTTACATTATTCTCGCCTCCTTTTTATCTGCACAACAACCCTGTGAGGTTGGTTAGGCTGAAAGTATGTGACTGGTCCAAAATCACCCAGTCAGCTTCCACCACAAGATGGGGATCTGAACCTGGGTCTTGCAGACCCTACTTTGAAGCACTAACTGCTGCACCTCACTGGCTTTCATAGGGTGGCTGCTGATGAACAGTAGCAAGCAGCCGGGCCTAGCTGAGTCATGCAAATCAAGGGGACTGACAACCCTAGACTGCTGCCAGGCCTAAAGTTGCCAACTTCCATGTGGGACCTGGAAACCCCCCAGAATTACAACTGGACTCTAGACAGCAGAGTTCTGTCTCCCTGGAGAAAATGGCTGCTTTGGAGGGTGGACTCTGTGGCATTATACCCAGCTGAGGCCTCTCCCTTCCCCAAACACATCCCTCCTTAGAGTCCACAAAAAAATCTAGGAATTCCCCAGCCTGGCATTGGCAACCCTTGTCAGGCCTGGCCAAAGGCTCCCTCCCTCAAAGGCCAAATAGGCCTGGAAAGGGCCCTTTCCCCTCCCTTTTACTGACAGAGTCAGTTAGAAGCCTCCCCCCATCAAACATTCTAATCTCTTACCGTTGATGTCTGAAGTATTAGGGTGAATTCAAAATACAAAATACAAAAAGACCCCTCCAACCTGCACTCTTCTGGACCTCCTTTCCTTCCTTTTTGTACCATTGTCATTTACACATGGTTTCATATCAGCACTATAAAGCTTTTTCCATATATTTAGAGTACTGATTTTGTATAGCGTCAGCATACAGCTTGTTTTTCCCCGTGTATATGCATTTGCCTTTGACATCACAGAGTGTTTGATTTCAAGGTTGTTTTACATTAAGCTTTACCTAGCATGCAATACCGGAGGAGATCCAACCATTTCCCTAGTAGCTGTCTCTCAGCCTCAGGAACCTTCCAAAAGATAAAGCCACTTATATTGGAGGAGGCTCCTTAGACTGGAGGAAGGCTTTAAACTTATCCCAAGAGGAACAGTGGGATGTAAATATTTTAACAATCATCTTATGGATATCAATAAACTTTGCTTAGTTGAGTGGTAGGAGAGGGGTAGGATCCAACCCACTATTTCCTATTTTATAAAATGGAAAGGTCAGCTTGATGTGAAATTTGATACTTGATCATTGACAAGGAAGAGCAGTGAAATTCTAACCGCATGTAAGAGTTGCCGACTCAACAGATTTCTTATTTGATGCCAACTACACTAGAAATGAACAAAAGCATGATGGAGTGAGCTCCCGTCTCTAGTTCCAGCTCCTGCCAACCTAGCAGTTTGAAAGCAAGAAATTGCAAGTAGATAAATAGGTATCACTTCGGTGGGAAGGTAACAGCATTCCGTGCGCCTTGATATTTAGTCATGCCGGCCACATGACCACGGAAACGTCTTCGGACAGCGCTGGCTCTTCGGCTTTGAAACGGAGATGAGCACCGCAACCCTAGAGTCGGATTCGACTGGCTTTCGAGCAAGGGAACCTTTACCTTTACTTTACACTAGAAACATTTGGCAAAGACTCAACATATCTAAATTATTCTTATCAATTTTTGACAAAGGAAATATTAGGTGAGAAAATAGAATGTCAAATTGTATATTTGTATTGGGAAAGAATGGAGGTTAATAAATTTGAAATATCAGGAAATATTCTTTTCAATGATATCTTTCCCTCCCCCCAGCCCAAGAACTCCTCTGTAATAATTGCCAATCTGCATATATTGAGAACTGTCGTACCATGAACACATGCATATCCAAGATGGGGAGATGTTTCAAAAGAACAATCTACAAAGCTCCTGCAGGTATGCTCAATGAACACAAAATCTTGGAGCTGCAAGTGGACTAGATCCTTTTCTTTCCCCACTCCTTCCAGGTACTGGGAGGCGACATGGGGCTGGTGGTCTGGGATCTGGCCTTACAATAGAGAGGGGCAGCTGACTGCGTCTGGTGAGTTCACAACCTCTTTTTGAGCTGAGACTTCAGGAGCAGACCCTTGAGGACTCAGAGCACAGGAGCTCAGGGTTTGGGGAACATTTTGTGATGCTCGGCAAATCCTGAGTACTATAACCCCCCTCCCCCGATACCTCATCATGGTTTCATTCTTAGAAGAATTTCTTCTTGAGCTTCAGTCCAGCTAAGGAGAAGTCTGGACACATACATACCGATTTCTAGACACATTTCCTCATGGCGCTAACCTCCTCATACCATGAGACCCGGATCCTCCCTGGGCTAAGTTCCATCAGTTCCCGCAATATCTGGGCTGGCAGTTACAAGGAGGTCAAATAAAGGGGGGGGGTTATCTTGGAAGATAAGTGAACTGACCAGCGATTGGGCTGGAAGCTAGGATATCGGACATGAGAGTGAATGTGGGAGGCAAGTTGGGGTTTCCCCAAGCCTAACATATAACTGAAAAAGCCTGCTTGTGGTGGCTTGAGCCTGCCCAGAGTGCCCCCAAACATTTCCAAAATGCCAGGAGTGACAACAATCATTCTCCCTAAATTTATTTTCTATATCTAAATGTATATATTTCATATTAATTGTTGTGTAAAATTAATATTAATCGTTCTCTTGTATTGTATGTGTGTGTTTGACAGTGTGGTGAGCAGGGCATGTGGGAGTTATGTGGCTCTTCCAGTTGATAACGACTGCCAGTGAGGCTCTTTGGGAGTTGTGTAGTAAGCAGCCCTGATTTAAAGGCTGTGGGGAGTGAGATGGTTAGCAGTTGTTGGTCTCTTTACCAGCTCTGGGAACATCACTGCGTATCCCTCCTCCGTATCCTCCGGCAATCGCTTATTCAAGGACCAAACCACCTGCTAATGTAAACCACGCCCCAAGCTTTGGGGTCCTTGGACTGGTGTGGCCTAAGCCAGTTAGTCACACCAACAGGGAGGAGGCAGAGTAGCAAGAGGAAAGAAAGCTTTATTAGTAAAGGGAACCCATTCAGCTCAGTGTCAAGCCAAAGAGCTCAAGTTAGTAACCTCGGGTTACATCTTTTATACCTTCTGGTGATCCTTCCATCATGACATGTCAAGACCTCCCCTTATGACATCAACCAGGCATGCTCAGTTCAGTTTGCACTGTCTGAAATCTGGAGCATGCCTATTTACAATCTCTTTGTTCTCCTTACACATGCAGACAATGACCATACCCATCAGCACTTTTAAACAATGTTGTTTTGCACTTGCCGGTGATAAAGTGTTTCAAACCAATGTTTCAAAGTTTTGTTCCCAGACATTTAGATATCATTCAGTGAACAAAGCATTGCTATGAGTGCTACATAAACAGACAGTCTTGAGACATATACCCTTTGAAGATCCCCCTCCCTATAGAATGTGCCAGCCATCTATATCTGAGGACAAAAAAGAATTACTTTTTCAAAACAAAGGCCTTCTCATTAGAGAGTCTAACACAAGGGATACATGTTGTGAACTTCAGAAGAAACATGAGTTCTCATGTGGGCTATAGTGCTTGCCATTTGCCCCTCCTGTAGGAATGGCAGCAGGCTTTCTTTCCTGGCATCTATTGCTTTGGTTATGCGCTTTTCCCAAACCAAACCAAACCAAATGCAATTAATTGATATGCTTACTCTAATCAATTTCAGCATATTGGGGCATTTAGAGACATTTTAGAACATATAGAGGCTTGCATGATTTATTAAAGGCTTAATTTCAAAGTCTGCATAAGGTTTTATGAAAAGCCATTCTTCTTTGCACTGTCCCCCCTCCCATCTGCCATATTTTGAGGCTTTAGAATGTTACATTGGCACTCAAAGACTTCTTACGGAGACCCACGTTGCAACATTTCTCTTGCTTCTCATCATCTTAGACAAGAAAGGGCTTTTGCATTTCTTGCTGAATGCAGGTGTCTTATCAACAATTATTTATAGCCTAGAAGTTTCAATTGAAACATTGGTTGACCCTATCTGGCGCCCTTCTGGAGTTCTCAAAGGTGCCTGACTCTGCACGTAAGCCAATTATTTCATAGCCCCGGCTTTTCTAGGGCTGCTTTAAGCCTCTTTATGATTTAAAAACTTATTTTAAAAACCATGGCTTAATATCAAAGTTTTTAGAAGCTCGAGGCTTCTTTTAAAAGGACCATTATTTGTCTGCCTCCCCAAGCTCCCGCCACCCTTTGGAATCTTCCCTCTATTATAGCTTAAAACTAAAAAATGTTTTCAGCCTCTCATAATGCCCAAATGCAACATTTCCAGAACAAAAGGGTTCTTGTGAAAGATTATGGTTCTGTTCTCTGTAAACAGGTGCATTATCTGTAATTCTTCCCATAAACTGAAGTTAACTTGCAACATTTAAAACTGTGCCTGCCAATTCAATTCTGATGGTGGCTTGCTTTAAACATTAAGCTACTGTCTTCTTTGAACTAAAGTAATCCTTTTGAAAAGTCTTAGTCACTGTACTTTACTTTAAAGAAATCATATTAAATGCTGCACCTATATAAAATGAATATGGCACTAATCACTTATTTGAATAAACTAAGTGGAGGGCCAGACCTGTAGATCTGAGGGGTAGAGCCTGGGGAGGGCAGGGCTTGGGGTGCAGAGGGACTTCAGAAGGGTATACTGCCATAGAGTCCCCACAGGGAGATTGGCAACTCCAGTGACCGTTTAAGGGAAGATTGGGATATGTATTTTACCTCAAGAGACATTCAATGACTCGCAACAACAAACACTTTAGAATGTTAGAGGCAAAGGTCAATCAGGCTGCATATGCAAATTACCTCTGTGTTCTGACTGGCTTTAGTCATGCCGGCCACATGACCACGGAAACGTCTTCGGACAGCGCTGGCTCTTCGGCTTTGAAACGGAGATGAGCACCGCAACCCTAGAGTCGGATTCGACTGGCTTTCAAGCAAGGGAACCTTTACCCTTTTACCTCTGACTGGCTATTGGGGGGAGAGGAACAGCAAACTGTTTAGAATATTGGAGGTGAGACTCAGACAACGCAGCCAGTGGATAGGGACAGCTTCTGAGTGACAGATCAGAGAGCGAACTGATTTGGGAGCATGTGGAATGTTCAGGAGAGTCCATTACCAAAACAGATCTATACATAAGGATGCCTTCAAGCATTTTGATTATATGTTGCCTTATTAAACACATTGGTTATAAACATTGCAGGTTAGCCTCATGTTTAGATATTGTTAAGTTCACTTACATTATGAAGGTTTATAAAATATAGTGTTTAAAACTATAGCATTTAAAAATCCCTTTGCAATACCTCCTGCAAGATTTAAAGGGCCCATCAGCTGATCAGCGGGGAGCACATGGCCACTAATCAGCTGTAGGGCCCTTTAAGTCTTGCAGGAGACAGTTCAAAACAGGAGCCATTTTTCTCCTGTGAGAAACGCTGCTTCAGACTTTATTTGAAACATTGTAGCAGATAAAACTTTCACAACAACCTATCCATTTCTCAGTGTTATCTGTTGGCGCATTCCTTCAAGATTGCTAATTCTCTTGCAAAGGAAAAAAATCGTGTCTGTTTTGAAACACAGTGGTTTCTGATCATGGAGGCCTATGAACCATTGATCTTTAGCAATAATATATTCAGGCCTCTGGGCCTGGCCTACACTAACCACAGGTCTAACTGGGAAATAGCATTGTTCATTCTCCCAGAACAAGGGGCAAATGCCACATTGGGAATGACACTCAGAAGAGCCACAGATGGCACCCAAGCCACTAAGTATCACTGCTTTACACTTTAAAACAAAAGGAATGAACGAACAAGGCAGCCCAGAGTCTCATTGTCAGCAGCTTTGGGGATGCATTGCAGGACTTCCCGTCACCACCACCAGCCTCTATGAGCATTGTAAATGGCAGAAATTTGGATACCAAAAAAAACACTGCAAATCAGAATACCAAATCAATAAAGGCATCCTAAAACCCAGGATAACTAAGCAGCGGCAGCAGCGGGGGGGGGAGTCTTTACTGACATGACCCATCTTGAGCTGCCTGAACAGATACAAAGACAGCATGGGGTCAGGGGTCGTTTCATAGAAAAAGAGCTAGGGGAACTCATTAGCATAACTCATTAGCATATGCCACACCCCCTGACTTCAGGGGCCCAGCGGTGGACCTGCAAGGCCGGTGGGAGTTCGAGGAAGCCCTGCCAAGGCCCTCCCTGGCCCCAGGCAGGCAGGGGTGGGGAGAGGTGGGGAGGAAGCAACTTACCCTCCCTCTTCTCCTGCCTCCTCCTGGCTGAATGAGGGCTGGAAGCGGGGTGGCCGGAAGCAGGGGGCGGGGCTTCGTCATGTGCCCCGCCCCCGCACCTCACCCGGGGGAACTGCGATCCCCCGCGATCCCCCCTGAATCGACCTCTGCATGGGGTATAATAGAACCTTACATTTTCCTGCAGTGCTGCCAGCGTGTCGCTGTCTAGCATGATGGCACAGCAGAGAGAGGGGAGCAGCTCCCTCTTTGAGGAAGTGCTCTGAAGACACAGGCTGATTCTGCATTGGCTTTTCCCTCCCTTGTTTTACAAAACCAACATTGGAACAGAAATTCCCCTCTGCATTGCATGCTGCTGTCACTTCTGTTGGTCATCGGATTTTACAGTAGCCTCCACACCCCATGCCACTTTTGAGTTCTTTGATCCTCAGATTTTATGGTACCTTCTGCATAGGTTTATGGCCATTTTAGGGGCATTCAGGGGTGACTTTGCAGTCAGTATGGCGTTGCCCCGAGGTATTTGAATGTGGTTTTGAGCTGCACTTTTTCTTCCCAGTTGAGAAAATGTGGAGCGAATGCTAGATGCAGAATCCCCCACAGACAATTAGGATGCGAGTGCTGGGTAGTTTCCGGGAAATAAAGGCCACCAAAGTTGGTACTTCAAGTAAATCAAAACCATGATTAGGATGTGCAATTTACTCAGTAGTTGCTCATTTTTGCCCCCAGCTCCTATTCTTTTGAGCTGCTCTGTGACATTATTACCACCCATAGTCAGGCTCACAATATTGTCTTTTTCCCCCTCACAGGTAAAAACCTTATTGAAGTGACTAATGGATGTGTCACTAAGTATAATGACCATGAATGTAACACACTTTACATGATTCCTAAGATCAATCAGATTCAGATTTTCACTTGTTGCCACACTGCGAGATGCAATGGACGAGACCCTTCTCCTTTCCCTCCTGCTAACTGTACCCGGCCTTCCAGAGGGGTTTGAGATGGCAGAAGATACTGAAGTTCTGGGCTTCTTTCATACTCTTTGAGCAGGCATGTGATTTAGGAGGCTGGAGCTGATCTTCTCATGTATTCATGTAATTTTGTCATGTCTTACTATCTTGATAAGGTGGGAGATGAAAGATAAATTGTGCACCCCGTTCTACATGGTGTCTTTTCCTTTATTTATTTCTGTATAATATTAAAATTTGTGGATGCTGTGAGAAATTAATGGGAGGCTAAAGCATAAGAAAATCCCCCCCCCATGCTGACCTAGAACTTCCCCTTCAGGTTGAAATAAGTCTTCATGGGCTCAAGCAGAGAGGTTGCTACCCTCCAGGTGGGGCCTGGAGATCTGCTGCTTTTACAGCTGATCTCCAGCTGACAGAGATCAGCTCCCCTGGAGAAAATAGCTGCTTTGAAGGGTGGGCTCTGTGGCATTGTACCTGGCTGAGGCCCTTAACTTGGGCAAGTGGTGGATACAGCAATATTGACCAGCCGGCTGAAATTTTCACTTAAGATCGCCAGGTCTTACCTGGCTGCTGGCGGGGGGGGGGGGAGAGATATCTTCAGTGCACACATGAAGCACATCCACCACAATGACATTACCCGGAAGTGACGTCATTGCACAGGGCACGTTGTGCCTCTATCGTTTGAGGAAAAACCATAGAGTTTTCCCTCTAACAGTAGAACGTCCCCCGCAAAATGCCCTGCATGATGATATCACCTCCGGGTGACGTCATCATGCTGAACTCATTGGTGCGTCCGCAGCACTTTGGGTTCAGGGTTCCTCCCGACAGCTGGATCCAAGCCAGTGGATTGGGGGCTCTTAAAGTGGGGAAACCCCTGCCCCCAGCGGGGGAATGACAAGCCTATTTACATTGAATATTAGAAGAAAAAGTTTAAGAAGAAGAGATTGGATTTATACCCCACCCTTCACTACCCAAAGGTGTCTCAGAGCGGCTTACAAACTCCTTTCCCTTCCCCTCCCCACAACAGACACCCTGTGAGGTAGGTGAGGCTGAGAAAGCTCTTGACAGAAACTGCTCTTTTTCAAGTACAGCTCTTATCAGAGCTACGGCTTGCCCAAGGTCATCCAGCCAGGTGCAAGTGGAGGAGTCAGGGAATCAAACCCGGTTCTCCCAGATTAGAGTCCACACACTTAACCACTACACCAAACTGGCTCTTAAGCAGAACTTTTTTTGTAGAGAAAGCCCAGCAGGAACTCATTAGCATAATAGGCCACACCCAATGACAGAAACTCATTAGCATATTAGGCCACATCCATGACAGCACAGCTCATTAGCATATTAGGCCACACCCCATGCCTTCCTTTGGCTAGCCCTGGCAAGCCAGCCCTTGGAGGGGAGGGGAGGCAGTTTAAACTGCCTTCCCTTGACTTGCTCGGGTGCCCCGTGGCTGCAGGTAGCCTGGGCAAGCCGGCCAGGGAAGGCACGGGGAGGCCTTTAAATGCCTCCCCGATCCTTCCAGGGGGGGCCCTGGCCCGCCCGCCTTGGAGTCGCGGGGGGGAGTTCGCTCTCCAGGCCTTCCCTCTGTGGCCACTAGGGATGTGCATTTGGTTCATCTGAAAAAAATGCACCCCCCAAAATGGCCCATTTGGACCCCTTTCGGGCTCCTGCAGGCCGATTCAGATTCTCTGATCTGAATCGGCTTGCCACCTAATTGCTGCCGAATTTCAGCGGCAATTCTGCCCCATTATATCCTATGGGCCATTGAGGTCAATGGTGAAAACATAGGGTATATTCTGGGGGCTGGAGGGGAGGGGGTTTGAGGGAGAGGCTTTTTTCCCCACTATAGAGAACAATGGAGGGGATAGGGGCAACCTGTTTGAGGGCCCGTAGAATTGGACCCCCTGGTCCAATGCTCTTGAAACTTGGTTGCTATCTTGGGGAGAGGCTCCAGCAGCTACCCTACGAGTTTGGAGCCCTGCTCCTAAGGCACTTAAACAGGCGCTTAAATAGGCACTTAAACAGGCATTCAAACAAGGCAAGCCACAGGTCACAACCTGAACCCAGTTTAGGTGGGGGAAGCACACAAAAACAAGATTTTGAATTTAATCTACATAAGAAGGGAATCCCCCCAAAGAACACTGGTCCAGTATTGGGCCTAAACTCTGCCATGAACCCCGAGCAGTGTGAAAGCAAAGTGAAAGGTGAATCCCGGCTACCAGTTCACTACCTGAATAAAGGAAAGCAGGTACCTCTCCACTTGCCTATGCTTCCTAAATTGGTTCCCCTGTCAGCCTTGTCATGTGAAGAATATTCCCTATATGTGTAGAACTAGAACATTCCAGGGCAAGAAGGGATGTTTAATTTTTTTTGTTGTATATGCCGCTCCCAGTCTAGCAAAATAAAACTACTAAAGAAAGATAGATGGAAGGGACACAGCTATTTAACCAGCAAGTAACTTTATTACCCTGTCCAGCCAGTGGGGTGTAATGGGTAAGACTCTAATTTGGAGAACCGGGTTTGATTCCCCACTCTTCCACATGAGGCCTGCTGGGTGACCTTGCTCCAGTCACAGTTCTCTCAGAACTCCCTCGGCCACACCTGCCTCACAAGGTGCCTGTTGTAGGGGGAGGAAGAGAAAGGTGATTGTAAGCCACTGAGAGACTCCTTAGGGTAAAGAAAAGCAGGGTGTCCAAGGTAAGTAACAAACAGGGGAAGCAGTAGCAGTGAGACTGAACTATTCAGTGATAGCAATACAACAGTAATTTATGTGTGGCAGTCAAATAAAGCAACATTCCCTTGGCATGATTCTAATTTCCCCCTTCAAGGTCTTCTTCTCTTCTTCTTTGTACACCTAACGTTGCCTTTTCCAAAACCTGCGACATCTGCTCCCCACTCCCCTATCTCTTGCCTGGGAAGCATGCAAAACATGGGGAAAAGCTGCTTTGGAGAGCTTTAAAGTCTAGATTGCTGGTGCCCGATATAACCACGTATACCTACACATAAGAACATAAGAGAAGCCAATGTTGGATCTGGCCAATGGCCCATCCAGTCCAACAGTCTGTCATACAGTGGCCAAAAATACCAGGTGCCATTAGGAGGTCCGTCAGTGGGGCCAGGATACTAGAAGCCCTCCCACTGTTGCCCCCCCAACACCAAGAATACAGACCATCCCTTGCCCCAGACTGAGAGTTCCTATCTATACCTTGTGGCTAATAGCCACTGATGGACTTCTGCTCCATATGCTTATCTAATTCCCTCTTGAAGCTGTCCATACTTGTAGCCACTGCCGCCTCCTGTGGCAGTGAATTCCATGTGTTAATCACTCTTTGGGTGAAGAAGTACTTTCTTTTATCTGTTCTAACCCGACTGCTCAGCAATATCCAGATGTATTTGGGATCTGGTTTACTGGATTTGGCAGAGATTCTGTGATGTGTATTTGAATGTGGGTATACCCGAAAAATACTGATAAGCTTTTTTCAGCTATATTTTCAGATTGGATATATCCGAATACATGTTTATACAGGGGGGCACCATGTTATGGAGGTTTGATTCCTATATGGGGGTGGGCAATCTCAGAAGATGGTGCTGGGAGATTCCTCCTCTGCCCATGGCCGCTGACATGTAGGGTTCTGTATGGTTCAATCTTATCCCCCATGCTATTTAATATCTGCATGAAGCCACTTGGAGAATTCATCAGGGGGGTTGGGCTAGGGTGTCACCAATATGCAGTTGACAACCAACTCTATTTTTCTTTCTCACCTGATTCCAAGGATGCTGTTGATGTTCTGAAGCAGTGCTTGATGTGAGTAATGGGCTAGATGAGGGTCAACAAAATGAAACTTAATCCAAACAAGATATTTAGTAGAAAGGGTTAGTGGAAAGGCAGACCAGGGACTTGAGATCTCTCCTCTCTTAGATGGTGTTATACTCCCCTCAAAAGCCATATTTGTAGCTTAAGAGTTTTGCTGGATATTGCAGTCACCTTAGAAAACCAGGTGGCTGTGGTGGTCTGGCATGCTTTTGCCCAGCTGTGACTGGTGGGCCAGCTAAATCCATCCCTGGGTGTTATGTACTAACAAAGGGACCACACACGTGGTCGGGCCCACACGTGGTCAAGCGAACAAGCAAAGCTTCGTGACCAGACCAATAGACACAGAGGATCCGAGAACGGACCAGTTAATCAGTCCGGATCCAAGAAGGGACCTATGGTTATGAGGGCACTGTAAATAAACCAGTCAAGGGTATGGGGTGTGTTGTTGGGTGTGGCTTGTATCAGCATTTAAGCAGGGCCCTGGGCCCCGCTCGTTGTCTCAGTTTTGCCTGCTAATAAACCATGAGCTGAAATCACTAGACTATGAGTCTTGAACCCAGTACTTTTTACTGGGTCAGTCAGATCTACCTGCAGTTATCCATGGCTAAGTAATATCTAGACTGGCTTATTATAATGTGCTCTACTTGGGGCTCCCCTTGTAGAGTGTTCAGAAGCTGCATGTAGTGCAGAATACTGCAGCTAGACTGCTGGATGAGGCCAGCTATCAGGAGCATGTGACGTCAATATTATAGCAATTACCAATCCCAAGCCCAAAACAAGGGGATGGTTTTGAGCTTTACCCAGGATGTGACAGAAAGGGCAAGAAGACTCATCAAGCCCACAGATTATTTTCCATTCTTGCTCATCCCTGTGGGAATAAATGATACTGCCTGACACAGCCAAGAACATATTAAAAGAGACTATGTGGCTCTGGGTAAAAAGGTGGATGACCCAAAACCGCAAGTTGTGCTTTTATCAGTTCTTCCTGTCGAAAGTCATGGCTTAGGAAGGGAAAGAAGAATACTACACATCAATGACTGGCTATGTAGATGGTGTCATCAGGAAAGGTTTGGATTTTTGAACCACTGTTGAGATAAAGCTCTTCTATCAGGAGATGGTTTGCACCTCACCAGGGTAGGGAAAATGTGCTTGGTAAGAGCCTTGCAAACCTGATAAGGAGGGCTGTAAACTAAGTCCTATGGGGGAGCATGACAAAAATTCAGAGCCTTGTATGATGCCAATAACTGGAAAGAATGATAAAATTTTGTGGGGAGTGGCACATAAGCTAGTT